CATCTTGGCGCCGCGGTGCACCACGGGCCGGGGCAGCCGCCGCGGGAGGCCGCCATTTGAATTGTCCCCGGTTTCCCTCAGGCGGGAGCAGCGTGAGGAACCGGGGTCGGGGCCGGGGCTACAGCTTCGGGAGGGGCGGGATGGCATCGCTGTACTCCCGGCCGGGCGCCGGCTCGAGGGACGGGGCTTTTCGCCGGTGTGGATGAAGAGACTCAGCCCGGGAGTTCACCGTTAAACACCACACACAGAAGTGCACGTTTCTGGTGTGGGTTGTTGGGTTTTTGTTTGTTTTTTTTTTTGCCAATAGAGTAGCAGGCTCTGGGTTTGAATCGTGTGTTTGAAGAGAACAGGGCAGGTTTTCCTTCACACGGGGCAGTGATGCGAGCCTCCCGCCAACGCTTGTCCACCTTGCACCTGCATGTCTCTGTGTGTGCATATATATATATATATATATATATGTGTTGTGTGCGTCAGAGCTTGTGGCACGGAGCAGTCTCCTACATGCCAGCGGTGGCGAAGGGCCCCTCAGTGTTGTCTCCAGCACAGTGATACAGTCAACAGTGTGACTTAAAGGGCAATCAACAGGCTGAGAGAGTTGGGGTTGTTCAGCCTGGAGAAGAGAAGACTTCGGGGACACCTTATTGCGGCCTCTGAGTACTTAAAAGGGGCTTTTAAGAAAGATGGGGACAGAATTTTAGCAGGGTCTGTTGCAATAGGACAAGGGGTAATGGTTTTAAACTAAAAGAGGGAGATTTAGACTAGATATAAGGAAGAAACGTGGGTGGTGAAACACTGGGCCAGGTTAACCGAAGAGGTGGCAGATGCCCCATCCCTGGAGGCATTCAAGGTCAGGTTGCATGGGGCTCTGAGCAACCTGATCTGGTTGAACATGTCCCTGCTTAATTGCAGGGGGGTTAGACTAGGTGGCCTTTAAAGGTCCCTTCCAAACCAAACCATTCAATGACAACTCAATTCCGACTTGTGCACCTGTAGCAGAACACACCCGTATCAGATTTTACAGTTTTGGCTTGTAAAACTATATTGAGGAAGGGTTTACTTATTATTTTCCCAGACCGTTTGCACATGTTACACAATGTATGTGGAAGAAGTTAGCCCGTGGCTGGGTGCAGCTGGGGGGAAGGAGAGCCCAGGTCTTGCCCCAGCTCTTCGGTCTCGAGTGGACATTCAGCAGCTCTCCTTTTACTCCTGGCAAGCCACAGGCTTTGCAAAGATGTGAGGATGGTGACCCAGCTCCGATCAAACCTGGGTGATGGTTCAGCATGGCATCAGCTTCAGAGCTGGATCTCTCAGCCCTTGGAAAGGTTAATTACCTACAGTTTGGCGCCTTGTTAAAAGTACGGGTAAAGCTTTTGGCTGATTTGACAGCCAGAAGCGCAGGGGTGATTCTTGACAGGGGTCAGAGGTTGAAAAGTCAGAGAGCAGCACAGACTTGCTCTTTTCCTTCTTTTTGGCTTGGCACTGTTGTGCCATTAGAGGTTTTGAGGCCACACGATAAGTCTCCCACTGAGAACAATTCTAGAACGTGAACTTTGTATCTCCAATTTTGTATCTCCATTTCCACGTTTCACCTCTTCATGTCCTGCAGGTCAAGTGAAAAATATGATTATTTTGTTTAATGTGAACAAATACATGGCTGGGATGGAGGTAGACCAAGATACCATCTTCAGAAATCCTATATTGGCTATCTGGGATAGGGTTTTGCCTGCCTTCCCTCCTTCTCTGTCCCTTCAGGCAACACCAGCCCTTTTCCTGTCCCGTAGCACCTCCTGCCCCTACAAAGGGCTGTACTTCTCCCCATCCTATTCCTTCCAGGCTATTTCGTAGCCTATTTGAAATGCATCTTGAGTCTTTTCCCTGATGTTAAGTGCTGTTGGGCTGCCAGTTCTGCAAAGATACAATTTGTATGAAAGTTGCTGGAAAAATACTGATTTTCAGCTGTTATCCTCTGATATATTTAACACAGCATGGTGTAAAATGTTTAGTGGGTAATGCATCATTTTAGAGAAATGCTTCAAAGAGTTGCCCTCAAGAATATTTCAAACCGTAGTGTGCTTTACGTGAAAATGGCCGATCTAGTTCCTTGTCTGTGTAGAACTGGGCTGAGGATCTGGATCTCTATCTTTGGGCCTCCTATTTACCACTGCTCCTTTTTTTTATTATTATTTGCAATTTCATGAGAACATTTTTTTGCTGCTATTTGTGAGGGAGGGAGAAGAGACATGAGTAACTGATAGGAGCTACTGAAATGGTTTTGTCTAAAGTTATAGGCAACTATGTACATAAATTTTACACACGAAGAAAAGATCAAGTAGGGGAAAAGACATTCTTTACCCACCAATAAATATTGAAATAGAGTTGATGACCTCATTCTTCTTTTTTTTTTTTTTTTAAATAGAAGAAAGAAAGGTATGCTGGTATCTGGTAGAAAGACCCAGGGAATCCCCTACAGGGCTTTATTGCTTAGCCTTCAAGCAATTAAATTGTTGCGGAGATGTTTCTAAGTCAAAGCAATCTCTTGTTTGGCTGTTAACAGTCTGTTTGCTTCCTCGTTAGTGATTTCATTTATTGAGTTAGTTAAAATATAGGCATGTTTTACTTTTATTTAAAAGGGAAATGTTCATAACCTGGAAAGAAGCTGTTGTTTACAGAGGGATTTGTGCTCAGTGTTGCTTCCCCTGCCCCTTTTCTGGTCAGCTGTAAGAGCAGAGCTGGCTCTTTAGGAAAAGGTGCCTTCAGTTTTCTCTATTTGCCCTCACAGCCAGCATTATCTTGTTTCAGAGCAGGCAAGGAAAAAAAAAAAAAACCCAGAGAGATGCTCCGATTCAAATCAGAGAGAGGAAATCCACTTTCCTGTCTCTAATTGGATCCAAGCGCAGAGCCTAATTAATTCCATCCAAAGGAGGGAACGTAGCGCAGTGCAGAGGAAGGATGCAACAGCCCTCCTTCCTGCTGTCGCTTGGGCAGCCCTTCTGTTACATCCCGGCAGGAGCCTGGGGGATACTGGTGTTCAGCCCCATGTCCCTTGCCGGGACTGTGTAACACTGGAGCATCCCTGTGCATCCTTGCACCGCTGCTGCCCCATCTGCTCCCAGCCTGCCCGAGGGCGCTCAGACCAGGCAGAGAAGCTGCAGCACAGTCGGGCAACATGCGAGCTTGGTGGGGACGGAGCTCTGGGGCTGAAGGAACCTGCGGTGAGCCTCGGCAGGTCGGTGTGGTGCACGCTCCCACCTGGCCCTCTGGTTCCAGCACTGTGATTTAGGAGCTGGCGCTGTGGTAGACCCTGTTACCAAATGAGCTCCTAATAAAGACCCCTCCTAAGACCGGCTGCTTGCTGGGAGCAGGGAGCAAAGCACGGCTCCATCCCACATGGCCCGGCCAAGGCTTCCTCGATCCGTGGTCCAGGCGCCTGCTGACAGTGGCACCTTGCAGTGCTCCTGGGCACGGGCGCTGCCAACAAAGCGCCTATTACTCAATTACTTATGTCTGCGAGATTGGGCTCGCTGAAGTCTACTAAATAGGTGCCTCTTCCTAACAGCTGCTTAATCTGTGACCGGAATAGGGTAACGTGCAGGATGGCAATGACCGTCATTACCAGGAAGCGCTTGAGAAAATGAGAAGGGTGTGTTTGTGTTTCTCAGAGGAAGACTGCTGTTTGATGTTCTGCTCTTACCTTGCTAAGCAAGAGCTTGGGAGCTGGCAGGTGACGGTGCACGGGGAAGGAAGGAGAAACGGGCTGGCAATGGGAGATGACCTGTACTCGAGGCCCGATACACATCCCTCTGCTCGCTCTCTAGTGCAAGGGCAGCAGCTGGGGCTGGACACCCCCATGGCCCTCTGAGCCCAGTGGCACCGTGGCCAGAAAGTCGATTCAAGATGGGCAATGCATGACACAGGCGTGCTCAGAGTGGGCTTTGGGTGAGGACAAAGGCCTGAGCTTAAATGCAGCTCCTGAGCAAAGGAGGGGTGACCCAAGGAGGGGTAGCCCCAAGAAGGGGTGGCCCCAAGAAGGGGTGACCCAGGGAAAGGTGACCCCAAGGAGGGGTGACCCAAGGAGGGTCTGCACAGCCCACTTTCTAGGATGCAATGGGAAGGCATAGAAATGTAACAGCCTGCAGAGCCAGTGAGCCCAGACTGCCTGCTGGCTTGTGTTTTGCTTCATTCCTGCGATAAAAAGTTAGATTTTGACCAGAGAACAAGAAATAACATTCACGAAGCCTTCTGCTTCATTTGGGCACCTAAACACCACCGACGTTTTGTGAATTTATTATTATTAATTTATTTAAAGTTCTTTAGAAAATACCTCTCAGGATTCTTACTTGTTTTTTGTGATGGTTTTATAGACAGCTCCAGTCGAATGTAACTGTTGCCCTCTCCAGGGAAATATACCAACAGGAAGCTGACTTGTATTATATGTAAGGATGAGAGCCTAAAGTCCAACCCGTTACAAACCCAGCATCAGGAGTTAGT